TTCCATTATCTTTGAACCCGCGTACATTTGAACCCGTACATCTGAACCCGTAATTTGAACCCAGGACAATTGCACCTGTATACTATTGCACCTATGGACATTTGCACCTACGGACATTTGAACCCATACATTTCCACCCATGGATTTTAGCACCCGCATATAGATTGAACCCGCGGACATTTGAACCCGTGTACGTTTGCACCCGCGTACATTTGAACCCATGTACATTTGCACCCGCGGACATTTGAACCCGTGTACGTTTGCACCCGCGTACATTTGAACCCATGTACATTTGCACCCGCGGACATTTGAACCCACGAACATTTGCACCCGCGGACATTTGAACCCATGTATATTTCCACCCACAGACATTTGAACCCACGTATATTTGAACCCGCGTACATTTGAACCCACGGACATTTGAACCCGCGTATATTTGAACCAACGTATATTATATTTGAACTCGCTTAATTTGAACCCGCGTACATTTGAACCCACGTACATTTTCACAAAAAATGTTTGCCCCAACGGCAATTTCCAGTCGCAAATAATTTTCATGTTACAGGCGCAAGCTCAATATTCTAAATTTCAACACTGTTTCACTTGTAGTTAGTTTTGGTGTATATGCATTTATCCGCTTCTACGAAGCAAGCATTTTTGAGTGTCATTGTAGTCCGAGGGATAAACGTCTCTTAACGATATAAACAACTTTGTTCTGCCAAAGTCTTTTTTCTTTTGCTGTTTTTTTACATTGACATTTGTAAAACCTTATTTCATTCGTTAGCCGCGATCTCCAAAACAGACGATGACCTAGAAAGCGGTATTTCGTTGAAATACCTGAAACCAGGGCTAATACGGAACAAATATCTCACAGACCAATGAAGTCTTAAATGAGGGTCTTACTAAAACTAGCTTTACAGTAATATTTTTAGTGGTCAACTCCTATAAATTTGTTCTGAAATTATTGCACCGAAAACGCCTACTATGATATCATGAGATTTGGGAGCTCTGTGGCCACTTCATGTTTTCTTGCTAGCATGTTTACAAAATTGTTATATGTATGCATACACGACCACGCTTTACTGTTGAAAATGAGTGTTGTCTCAAATCAGGTTTTGACATTTTTCCTAAAATCAATCTATAAATTGAATACTATTGTCTGTATATAAATAAATAAACTCACAGATTCTTCGTTTCTAAGAAAATATGAAATTAAGATAATGAAACTATGCCATTTTTGTAACAACATGTTCATAGCCAAATGCCAGTTTTATTGAAGTATTGTTTCATTAGAATGTCAGAACAAAACTATACATAGAAATCGTAAGTCATGTAAATATGTTGAATATTCGAAAGTGAAGAAGTTTTAAAATCATTATCGTGGCCAAAAATGTTTTTTGCTGTTTACACTATTTAGAGTGAATCGAACATATTCAGCATATAGGGTCTGTTAAATATGATATTGCAATTTACAAATGACGTCATAGGTTACGGATTACATTTATTTTAATATCTCAATAAAGTTATCACTCACAAATTTGTGTCGAATGGGCGATCAATTTTGAGATAGAGTAGCTATGGACGTTTTACAAAATAGGAATTTATCAATTATGATACAATAGTTAAACAACAAATCAAAGTAATGACGATAAACGAAATTTTACGATATCACGATCAAAATCAAAATCAAATAGACTGCATTTGAGCTATTGAGTGGAGATACCTCAGCTTGTCGGTTTCAGTTCCATATGAAAAAACTTAACTGTCAACCTAACGGCAAGTTGTACATACTTTGATCTTTGGTGGGCCGTAACTCCTACATGAGCATTTGCCGCAGTCAGTTTGTGGACCGCAATGTCTTTTCGTAGGCCATTCAGCAAACCCCATATATATACTCGGATGTTTGCATCGGAACATTCCTTGTAAGGCGTTGTGAAACCCTTCTACAGCGTTTGTTGTTCTTGGGGCCGAAGGCACCATTTCAATCTCTTTGGCATAGTTCCACAATCGAGGGGGAAATCTTGTTTCTCTTGAACGTGAACCCACTTGAGGTCCACGAATGTAGGTAGATTCAAAATATTGCAAAAGTTGATTGCATTCGGGCAAATCTTCAAAGGTGTCGCAAAGCAAGGGGAAGACTTCGGCAACCTCGTTAATGGGAACAAAAGCCAGAGCTGCCAAACTTCTAATTTTCAGATTGAAAGAAGGTAAACATTCAAACTTCTCTTTTAATCCGATAGAACCAACTTTTCGAAATAGCTTGTGACAGGTGAAAATAACATTCTTTAAAATCGGCCAGAGGAAAATGTGCATGGAATGCATTGATAGCTGCTATTTCAAAATCAACAATGATTTTGGTGGGGTTAGCATTTGGGAAAATGATTTTCAACGCTTCCAACATCTGAACGTATGTTTCTTGTCGCTTGTCTCGTAATAGGAAATATACGCATGGTGGATAGGATGCGCCCACTTTACAGTGAATTGTATACAACTGGAAGAAAATATCGGGCACCACATCAAATGTACCGTCGCCAAGATATGGGTCACTATCTAGATGTGCAAGTAGTGATCGATCTCCAATGGCCATTATCCGATGACGATCCTCCGAGCCAGTGTCATGCAAAATGATATCTAAATATTCGCTCGGAATATCAAAGCTTGCACTTGTAGGATTCGTACGTGAACAATTTTTCTGTCGCCTTACTCTGCGTATATTGGCCTCCAGAGTCGACTTGCCTGGCAAGCGCATTACTACATCTGTTGATCTATTATTCAATACTTCACCTAAAATATATCTTGTCGATGTATTTGATGGTGTTGATGCTGCTTCTTTTAATGTTGCACGGATGATCCCAACTTCAGTCTTAATGCTGTCGCCAGAATGACTGTGATATCCTAGTTCTTTTATTACATTTTCACCGATTGTAACAACAGTCGATTTACATCGAAATTTCCTAAACTGACGGCAGCGCCAATGAGTAGCATCTGAAACCCGATCATTTCGCTTACAATATTCGTGGCCTTTGTAAATCAGTAAGTCGTTTCCTCTTGTGGTCTTGGAAAATGTAGGCGCCATGTTTCCAACTTATTTTCGCAAAGGGACTTGTCATCTTCGCAGCTGCAACCTCCTAAAGAAACAGTTTGGAATTGTCTGCGAGGGGAAAAGGGCATTGATGCGAGGAAAAACTTTGCGCGGGATCGAACTAACACATCAATTAAAATCCTTGCTCGCGCTCTTCAAGAGTCGTCGACCGTTCAAAGCACAAATCATACTCCCCAATTTTGGCTCGCATTCTACAGCGGAACATTTTGTCCATTGAGTCTTATGATATCGACAAGTGCGATGACAATGACAGACGGAGTATAATATAAATATATAATATAATTTAAATATATAGAAAATAGTTGTAATAAAGCCTTCGAGTATATAATCGAAAATTCCATGGTGTTTTCGCAACGTATGCATTTGGACAAAAATCCTAAGTGTACCTTCCAATCCTATATACTATAGTATATAGCATGGAAGGATAAGGGTGTATATGTAAAGACGCATATATCCGTAAATGCAAATGCCCATGGGTGTAGATGTTCATGGGTGCAAATGTCTGTGGGTACAATTGTACGCGGGTGTAAATGTATGTAGGTTCAAATGTACGCGGGTTCAAATGTACGTGGGTTCAAATGTCCGTGGGTGCAATTGTACATGGGTTCAAATGTCCGCGGGTGCAAATGTTCGTGGGTTCAAATGTACATGGGTTCAAATGTCCGCGGGTGCAAATGTACATGGGTTCAAATGTACGCGGGTGCAAACGTCCACGGGTTTAAATGTCCGCGGGTGCAAATGTACATGGGTTCAAATGTACGCGGGTGCAAACGTACACGGGTTCAAATGTCCGCGGGTTCAATCTATATGCGGGTGCTAAAATCCATGGGTGGAAATGTATGGGTTCAAATGTCCGTAGGTGCAAATGTCCATAGGTGCAATAGTATACAGGTGCAATTGTCCTGGGTTCAAATTACGGGTTCAGATGTACGGGTTCAAATGTACGTAGGTTCAAATGTGCTGTCACCCATCGTCAATATTAATTTCGTCCAAATACCATGGGGGAATTTCTTCGGCTTTAAAGCAGTTTAGCCTTATATAAGAGGCATAATTGTAGTCGTCGTATACTCAATGGCATATCATTACAACAAACTTGTAAAGCAATTTTAGGCGTACTCATCATGCCACCTGCAGCAATGCGTAGACATTGAGATTGGATAATTTCGATTTTTCTTATGGCATTCATTGATGCTGAAAAATAGGCTTCCATACTATATTCAATAATGGGTCGAACTAGGGATCTGTACAATGACAAAAGGGGTGATTTGTTAGCTCCCCAGCTAGTTCCAATAAGCAAACGCAGCAGATTAATCCGTTTACTACATTTTTGTACAACATATTCGATATGTCTCTTATAATTTAAGCGCCTATCGAAATAGACTCCGAGGTATCTTACTTCATTCCTGACTGGTAGTATTACACCGTTTATGTGTAGTTGTATTGGTGGTAATTTCTCTTTCGGGTGAAGAGCACAACTATTGATTTTGTGACCGAGATCTTAAAACCCCATTGATTGCACCAGGACTGAATACAATCCAACGATCCAACAATGTTTACCCGGTAAAGGATAGGCCATCATTTTTTTCCAATTTTCCTTCTTTTAGTTCTATTACGAGTTCGGGGACTAACCAAGTGATTCCCGTAGCATTTGTAACTGAAATTATGGCCTAACCAGAACCTGGTACAACTACTACGTTCCGGTGTCCGCCATCTTAGTCACATACAGCGGGAGTACCAATTAATGTTACTTTCATTTCATTATCGAATGCTACCTTTATTAAAATTTTGCCTATATAAGTCATGCGCATTATGCTCATGTCGTTTACTTGTTATATATGCTATGTTTATTATCGGGAAAAAATAATAAATCATTTTGTAGATTTTATCGCTTTCTCGATTATATTTTCGTAATATTATAATACATCGAAAAACTTACTAAGTATTTAATGATCCCATGTGCGGAGGCGTAGACTAGTAACCAGTGGTGGAAAATTGACTATCCGGTTTTTAAAATATAGTACTGAATAATTGAAGCATCTGATGGGAGGAAAGTGAATCTTACATAAATAAAATATTACGCAACCGCTTTTTTAAAACAAAAATATTTTGTCTAAAATTATAACTAAACAGCATAAATGATCTGTCGTCACAGCTCAAGACAGTTGGAATTAAATCAATATTGTCACATACATAGTGCTATTAGTGCACTTGAAAAGCTCGAATCTATAAAAACTTTAATTCATTGAGTTACCATTTTAAACTTGAAAAATTTGCTGTTGATATTTATTTAAGACACGAAAATGAAAAAGAGAATGTGAGGTAAAAATAATATGAAAATTCCTGGCATTTGGTAAAAATCGACAAGACTATGTAACAAGGCAACAATAGTTATTCGCCAACATTGATCTGATCTTACAATTGATGTTGCTACGGTAGTATGCATATGCAGAATACCAATTAGCTAATCACAATGATTCTACACCAACGGACGAAACACCAGGTGTCGCCGGTTGAGCATAGCCAGATTTTCTTAGATAAGTCCATGTTTTCATGTTAATTAACGTATAAATTGTCGCCAAGGCGTACATGCCTGCCAACACAGACCCTATCACCACTACAGCCAAGTTTTGTCCAGAATTACGCAAAATTCTGTCGTTAGGACATTCGCCTGTGTCTACCACCTCCGAGCTGCTACCCGATTCACATATCCATACGAACCATTCGTAGCCTGCGGAAAAACAAACGCAAGCGATATAGAGGATGGCAAAAATGGCGTTTAAAGCAGCGTCCAATTTGAAGGGAATTATTTCCGACCTTGAAAACATGTAAAATATGTATGTGAGAAGAGTCAGCAACCAACTTGGTAGTGTGAGAGCAGAATAAAACAAAACTTGGTCGTTAATTTCAGGAGCCTCGTTGCTTGTTGACATGACTGAAATATAAAAAAATAGATTTTCTATAACCAGCAGCCGAGGGTTAGAAAAATATTCTGATTACCTTAAAAGCCAAGGAGCGAGAAAGGGAGAGTTTTACTCATTTCAGATAATGTACACACCTCCAACACGCCATTCTCAGAACAGCGCTGAAACGACTGAGCTTAAATTCTCAACTTTGTTGTACAAAAATAAAATTCAGCACAAATATGAATAAATATAAGCGTTATTAGTCTGTTCGCCGGAAAAATATGAAAACTATCCTCACTGACTTCAATAATTAAGGTAAAACTCATCATTGGTTCATGTCAATGTTCCTTGTATTAATTAGTTCGCAATTATTTCATTCCTCAGCTTTTGATAATGTGATACCATTCGTGCTTCCGACGACCATCTTTATCACGGTGAAGTTCAAATTGTTGATTATTTGTAATAAATTCAAAAGTGTTTAATTAACTATATAACTTGACGTACAAATTCAAATCGATAATCGTATTGCTGTGGAGTGGTTTGGACTGTGTGCTGAAATTTATTATTGCTAAGTGAACGACGATTTTAAATCATATGATGCAGTGCAGACAAACGTGAAAATTCGTATTGAGCTTGGTGAAGTATATTTATTACTCCTTAATTAAAATATGCTCAATTTTATGAGGTTCCTTTTTTATTCTTATACAATTTATAACACCATCTTATATCTAATTGAAAATGTAAAACTATGAGCCTGTAACTATATTTTTCTACTTAATTTTCCTGTTTACGCATGCATGTCATGTATACAAATTAACTATCCATCAGAAGCATTTAGTTATTTCCAATAACTAATACATATATTTAAACGAAAATATCGGTAAGCATTTTTGCGTGAACCTGGAAATGCTTTTCATTTGATGTAATATAATTTTGGCTTCGATTAAGGGTTTATAAGAGCATGTAGCGTCAACGCAAAACAACAGACAATGAATGAGTCAGTGGCGCAGATTCGAGTTCTTACAATTTTAACGACAACCTTGCAACTCAATTGGGAATTCGATTTTATACAGAAACAACATATTCACGATTTTATACAGAAACAACATATTCACTAGGTTTCAAATTTTAGCATCGCAATTACTGCACACCGTAAAATATTTCGGTAGCCCTGGGCGGTGAACAGCAAGCAACATAATTATATTCATACTTTTACAACAAGAACAGGGCAAACATGCAAAATGAGGAGTTTGCTTTTTGTGTAATTAAAAGTAAAAGAAATTTAATGGGTTTCATTTGATATATTTGATGATGGGAATAGTCAAAGAGAATCAGCGTCTCTGGCTTTTTACAAATCGTATGTAGTAGCCATTCCTCGCTGGGAGTTAGCGTAAAATACCAAACATCACTTACCGTCCCCAATGTAAACGATGCCCCAGCAAAATACACCTATAACGATTAGTGACAGCTTGAGAATTCCTTCTACAGACTTCACATATTCGTGGTTGAGTCTTGGTGGACAACAATTGTCCATTTCTTCAGCATATAACACAAATTTCTAAACCCAACTAGAATACGACGGGTTTGATGAACAATTTTCCACTTCAGACCGTTTTGTGAACGGCCATTTGACACGCTCGAGCTATTTTAGTAAATACTGTTCTGACAAATGTCAATACACCACTAACAGACTAACGAAAGAAGAGATTATCGTTATGTATATAAGTGACATCACTGCAAACATGGGTTAACTTCCTAATTTGTTCGAAAAGCCTGCCGGATCTCTATCCATTCAATGTCACAACAACGCTTATGAAAGTTACAGCCCGGCTACAGTACTATTTCTCGAGAATTGTGGAAATGCCCTCCGGTTATGTATATATATTTGTGTGGCAAATTAGAGGTGGAATAAATTTGCGGGGATGGTCAAAGTCTACCTGTACAATTTAAACAAGTTTGATTCGCACTATAAATAGTATTAATACAGGCACGCCAAAAATTGTGTTGGAGAGATAAGCTATTTTCGAACGCCTAATTCCCCCCTCCCCATTATGCATAGAAAGCATTGCATTTAATATACACTCTTCAACGGAACATTGGCTTGCGACACGTGCAACTGTAGAAACACTGGAGTCGTGTGGAGTTCTCGTATTGCTTCCCATAAGTTATAGATTCATGTATAACAACTGTTCCTTCTACCGGTATCCCTTTTGAAACAGCGATTTATTCTTTCATTGACTGTAGAAATATGCACTGGTAGCCGCTACATACTGTATTTGTTTTGAATACTAGCCGCATTTTCAGAAATTTAACGAGAAGCAAAAGCGAGACATTAATTCACTTTTCTACCATGAATGCTTCTCAAATTCCCTTTGAACTCATGGAGAGGATATTCACTTGACTTGGCATTTGTAAGCTAACCTGTCCGTCTAGTGCAGTGGTTCCCAACCTCTTTTATATCGCGGCACACCTATAACAAATCATGAACATTTATACTCCCGACTCCAAACTGAATTTCATTACCACAATTTAAGTATTATCGATAAAACACTAAATTGGTTTAAAGTTGATAAAAACCGTTGTACGTAAATTTCCACGTTATGAATTTCGTTCAAGGCCCGAAGATATATTGATGACAATAGCATTTACTATGTCGAAACGCTTATTCGATTTTTTAGACCACACGAACTATTCGAAAAAGGTACCCGTTTCTGTGTTCGAGATTTAAAATAATCGTCAATTCTACCACGCTTTCATGTGAAGAAGTAGTGCAATTTACTAAATTTAATGAAGGTTTTATCAAGTTTTTTTACACCCGTATTTGGAATACCACGTGTTTCTCCAGATTACTGGCGTGATTACAGATTGCAAGGGAGGGCAAGATAGAATATTTTTATCAAATCGAATATATTTAACGAATTTTCGAATAACCGGTATTTTTTTAGTACATATACAACAGACATCCAGAACGCTAGACATTCTAATGTTGGTGAGCTATTTCCGCCCGTCCTCTTTTTTGGAGTTTCAGAAGTATGTGCACCAAGATGGTGCAGAGCCTCAACATAGTAAGTGTACCGGGTTATGTGCCATATTGGTGCACATACTTCGGGAGCGCCCTTTTCTACAAGAACCAGTTATTACACAACGGCGAACGTTAAAGTTTGGCTTTATATTTCTGGGAGAACTATGAGTTTATATCGTGACATATGTTAAAGACAAACATTTCGCACAATAATTTGTTACCTTGTTTCACATTTTCAATTTTACGAAGCGGTGTTGGTCCGCTTAATGCAAAACTCAAAATTGGAACAATACCGACTCCTCAAATTTGTCGTTTCTTTTTGTTAGCAAGAGCAGTGGGGCAATTGGAATCGCTTGAAATAAATTAAAACATGAAATCTCTTCGCGGCATACCGAAATCATTCCGCAGCACACTGGCACGGTGGTTGGGAACCACTGCTCTCAAGCAACAATAGCCAGTATTTTTGCTTGCATTTATTTATAAATATAAAAAGAATGCATAGCTGTCACAATTCATCAATTTTTCTGTGAATTAATGCATTTAGTCAACGCAGCCTCTGCAAAATCATTTCCATCATTTTTTGCATCCTGTCTTAGGAAACAACAATGATCATACTTCAGTGCGATCAGCATTTGGTCGAATGTCAAACTTTAAATCCTGAATGAATTGCAACAGCACCAAAAGTCATATTAGAATATTCGACCGACTTGAAACCCATATTTCTTATGGCTTCTGCAAATGTTTCCTGATCTGGAAACTGTCTAATGCTTTCTACTAGATATTGGTATGATTTCCAATCTCCTGCTATAACTTCCCCCATTACAGGAATAACTTGAAATGAATAAGCATCATATAATCTAAATGAGTAAAGAAAAAATTAGCTTATGATCGACAATAGAACTATAAAACAATATATTGCTTTAAAAAAAAACGGCCAATATTTTTCCTCGGACATCTCAAGCTTTCCCTCATCGTTTACAATTTTACCCATAAGCCAATGTTTGTTCAAGTACAGGCTTAACGGATCATTTATATCTGAACTTGCATGGAGAGGGAGGGTAGAAACAGGATGGTTGAGTAACTTGAGTTGACAATTGCAACTTATAAATGCGTTTGGTAGTAGCAGTAGTTCTCAATCTGCATTCCATGCAAACTAGAGGTGTACATCTAGATCAGAGCTGGAGGAATACTATGAATGTTTATGCCACTGATATCATAATGAAGACAATATTTAGTAGCTCATCTCATGCAGAATAATTATCTTTTTGATTTGAAAGTTTTTCCTAGTTGGTATTGGTATAGTATATATGTAAAAGTTGAAGGAATTCTCTGCCTCATAGCAAGACAAGCTGTCATATCCATTGTCAAATTAAAGATCTATTTTTCTAATAAGCATGAGTGGTGCTTAAAAATTTCTTATCTCAGTGCTTTGACTTCTAATATTAATTTGAAGGTGGGGCTTTTGGATTTATTTCAGAAAAATGACAACCTATAATACAATGAAATATCTCAAAAAAACTGCTGAGAATTTGAATTTCGCAAAAGTTAATAACCCTGCTTCAATCGTAATGGAAAACACTTAGAAATATGTCAAACACAATGAAATAGAAGCATGAAAAAGCACATCATGTCAAGCCTCAGGAACAAGATTGCAAAATAAAAATTCATTTGGTCCAACAATGGTCAATAATCACTATCCACAGTAGAAATTTGGCATTAAGAACGACTTCAATAGGATTGGCATTTTTACTTACCTGCGGAGTATTGTATGGTTTACTCGGCTAAATTCTAAACATTGAAAACGTCCACCAGGTTTTAAGACTCTGTATGCCTCTTCAAGTACCTGGAGATGATATGAGTTTTCTTTTAAAGAGGCCTTCACATGCTCTATCAAAATGACACATGATTTAAAAACTTTCTGCTAGAAACATCATACAAAACTAAGGTGCATTACATTTTGTATCAAAAATAATACATCCATGAATCAGTGATATAACGATAGTTTCTTTCTTAGTGGATATTTTTTAAACCCACTCTGAATTTACGAAAGCGTCTGGTTAACAAATGAGACCAAAATTTTAGCTTTGAAATTGAATAAAATCAAATATCATACTGCATTAAAAGTATTTCTCATGTTCAAAGTTTTATACAAATCCAAATTGGATTATTGTTAAGAATCTATCAACTAATATATTCATTCTCTACCTTCTGTATATGTGTACAGTTTCGAATGCCAAATGCAATAGTGTATGCATCAAAAAGATTATCTTGAAATGGCAATTTCTCAGCATCACCACAAACCCAAGACAACTTTCCCGTGTCTATGTCCAAATCTCCTGCTCGCTTCTTCCCGACGTCAAGCATTGCTTGATTTATATCACAAACTGTAACTTTTCGATTGCTAGAATTTTGCAAACCAGTTCCAGAATTGTACTTCAAAAATCTAAAGGCAATGTCACCTAAGATAAGGATGAAAGATTTAGGGTGAAGATTAAAAGGCGATCAGCCATCTCTAGCCTATTGCATTGTACTCATTGCAAGATGAAAACTTCAGTAAATAGCTACAGGTCACAACCATTGATCAATTATGTTGGGTAGCATGCTCATATCATAGCATTACAGCACGGAGATACGTTTGCAATATAATATCATATTGTACACGTACAAATAGATGCAAAAAATATATAATGTGCATAATAATTGCTAGATAACCACAAATGCAGTCCTGGTGTGCAACATTTTCGAACACTGCATGATCCTTTTATAATGGAAGGAGTTATTCCAAACAAACATCATATTATAATTTCTGTATCACATAATTGAAATCTTGATTAAACAACAACTACCATTTTATTCCATTTATTCTACTAATTAGAACTTCATACTGAAATTCTCGCTATCCAAAATAATTGAAACATGATACCTGTACCACCAGCTACATCTAGTAGAGAAAGATTATGACCAGGGTTAAGATATCTCATGAACGCATCTTTCCATATCCTATGCAATCCAAAACTCATGGCATCATTCATATCATCATAAGATTTAGCAACATTTGCAAACACATCATGAACTGCAATATAAGTCAATTTATAAACATCTAATAGTGGTATCAATATTCCAGGCTTTTCGTAAACAGTGATAAGAAAACCAACAGACCAAGTTTAGCTGTTTTGGTACTTGAAGTAAATATTTAAATATTGCTGCAATCATCACATAAATGTATGCAATACTTGCAACTATGAAAAATGGAAAATATATATATACAGATATATGTCAGTATGTTGTTGCAGACTTTAAAACAACATTATGTTTTAAATATTGGATAATACAGAAGTAATTCAAATATAACATTGCGCTTAAATTAAAAAACTTGAATGAACAATTATTCGTTTAACAGTTTAACCCATCAACATTCTGATATTGGAATTTCATGTTCAGGATACAATTTCAGAATTTGATATAACGTTTAGTATAACACACTCATACAGTCATATGCTCAGGTACACAAATCACCTCTTTCTGCTTTTTCTTCTTCTGGAACTTGCTGATATCCAAAATGAGTGTACTTCTCTGAAATAGGGCGTAGTATTGAAAGTATTCTTCTGTTCGGTTCTTTTCGAAACAAATTGCTTGTAATCATTGTCTGACTAAGCAGCTAATGATTTAGATATTTATTTCGTAGTGCATGAAATATTGTACAGACAAAATTAAACAAACATAATGAAAATATAAAATAAACAAACATAAAATACAGCAATACTTCCGCAATTGTGATTCAACAATCAGACAGTAAAACCTACCCTACGGCCTACTCCAGTACTGGTACTTAATACAAGTTGTATGGAATTTTAGTCCAGTCAGCTAGTTGATCTCACTAACTGAATTCGGCTTGAATTGAAATATACCGGTACCGGTATACCGTACCGTATGACACTAAAAATTATCCCCAGACTGCTGGACTGCCAAATTATTCTACCCTACACCCAACTTACAGCCCTACCAGCCTACTTTACAGTGTTAATTTGCGACTTTATTGCATAAAAGTTGATGCGTTTGATTGCTTATACAAAGTAAATGCAACTTTGCAAGCTGTGTCGTTGTAAACCTACCAACCTACATCTGGGTATTGATCTTGGGGGAATCCCCTTATACAGTATTCAATTTTTTGCGTCATGGTGAACTGTACACCTTTCGTTAGTAACAAGCCATAATGCGTTCAGTACGTTCATTTTGATACGAAACTAAAGAATTTATTTAGTTCTCACATGTGCGGTGCAAAACTCATTTTAGGCGTTTTTGGGGTCTCGTTTCACGGCCTATGGACCTTTGACCCCTTAAAATCGGTCTCACTACCTACTGAATTGAACCAGAATGGACCTCTCCCCAAGCAGCGACTTCCTTGTTTACTTCGTGACATTGGCCAATCAGCAAGATTCAATAAGTGGCGTAACAATACCCCGTTTTCGCATACGCTCAGACACTTTTTTCACTAAGACAGATTTTCAAGCGTGGTTGTAAACACCACTGTCACGCCAGCCAAATATCAAATTTATATTCCCGATTTTCATATTATAGTGTTTCCGCGTCAAACGAAATGTACCTACTACGTAAACTAATAGTTTGCGCATCGCGCAATGGGTGGATTTATATTTCGCGCTATGGGTGGATTTATATTTAGATGCTGATTTGGAAATAATACTGCAACTTATTATAATAAAAAAGAGGAAAGATAAAATATTTGAAGTATCACATTCAAACATTATGAGGTTCGAATATTGGCAATTTTGTAAACATGTGTCATTGAGATAATCGGATTATTTCGTGTTTTTATGGAATCGGGGGCAAGAATTTAAATATACCATTGGGTGAAGAACTAATATAAGAACTTATTCTAATGAAAACAATTGTGTGACATCCAACGAGTTATCGAACTTTTTTGGGTTCGAATATTGGGAATTGTGGAAAATTGAAATTTTTTGTAAAATAACCGATTTTTTTAAACTTTTCCGGTCCCGGGGGGAAAAAATTTGAATTTACAAATGAATAGAGGACCAAGATGTGAACTCAACGCAAAATAAAAATTTTGGTGCTTTCCTGCGATTTTTCGAACTTTTTTGGGTTTGAATATTGGGAATTGTGGAAAAAATAAAAATTTTGGTAAGATAACCGATTTTTTTAAACTTTTCCGGTCTCGGGGGCAAAAATATGAATTTACCAATGAATAGAGGACTAACATGAGAACTCAACGCAATAAAGAAATTTTGGTGCTTCCCTGCGATTTTTCGAACTTTTTTGGGTTCGAATATTGGGAATTGTAAAAAAATTCAAAATTTTGGTAAGATAACCGATTTTTTTGAACTTTTTCGGTCTCGGGGGCAAAAATATGAATTTACCAATGAATAGAGGACTAACATGAGAACTCAATGCAACAAAGAAATTTTGGTGCTTTCCTGCGATTTTTCGAACTTTTTTGGGTTTGAATATTGGGAATTGTGGAAAAAATAAAAATTTTGGTAAGATAACCGATTTTTTTGAACTTTTCCGGTATCGGGGGCAAAAATATGAATTTACCAATGAATAGAGGACTAACATGAGAACTCAACGCAATAAAGAAATTTTGGTGCTTCCCTGCGATTTTTCGAACTTTTTTGGGTTTGAATATTGGGAATTGTGGAAAAAATAAAAATTTTGGTAAGATAACCGATTTTTTTGAACTTTTCCGGTCTCGGGGGCAAAAATATGAATTTACCAATGAATAGAGGACTAACATGAGAACTCAACGCAATAAAGAAATTTTGGTGCTTCCCTGCGATTTTTCAAACTTTTTTGGGTTCGAATATTGGGAATTGTAAAAAAATTCAAAATTTTGGTAAGATAACCGATTTTTTTGAACTTTTTCGGTCTCGGGGGCAAAAATATGAATTTACCAATGAATAGAGGACTAACATGAGAACTCAATGCAACAAAGAAATTTTGGTGCTTTCCTGCGATTTTTCAAACTTTTTTGGGTTCGAATATTGGGCATTGTAAAAAAATTGAAAATTTTGTAAAGATAACCGATTTTTTTGAACTTTTCCGGTCTCGGGGGCAAAAATATGAATTTACCAATGAATAGAGGACTAACATGAAAACTCAACGCAACAAAGAAATTTTGGTGCTTCCCTGCGATTTTTTGAACTTTTTTGGGATCGAATATTGGGAATTGTAATGAAATTGAAAATTTTGGTAAGATAACCGATTTTTTTGAACTTTTTCGGTCTCGGGGGCAAAAATATGAATTTACCAATGAATAGAGGACTAACATGAGAACTCAATGCAACAAAAAAATTTTGGTGCTTTCCTGCGATTTTTCGAACTTTTTTGGGTTCGAATATTGGGAATTGTAAAAAATTGAAAATTTTGGTAAGATAACCGATTTTTTTGATCTTCTCCGCTCTTGGGGGCAAAAATATGAATTTACCAATGAATAGAGGACTAACATGAGAACTCAATGCAACAACGAAATTTTGGTGCTTTCCTACGATTTTTCAAACTTTTTTTGGTTCGAATATTGGGCATTGTAAAAAAATTGAAAATTTTGTAAAGATAACCGATTTTTTTGAACTTTTCCGGTCTCGGGGGCAAAAATATGAATTTACCAATGAATAGAGGACTAACATGAGAACTCAATGCAACAAAGAAATTTTGGTGCTTCCCTGCAATTTTTTGAACTTTTTTGGGATCGAATATTGGGAATTGTAATGAAATTGAAAATTTTGGTAAGATAACCGATTTTTTTGAACTTTTCCGGTCTCGGGGGCAAAAATATGAATTTACCAATGAATAGAGGACTAACATGAGAACTCAATGCAACAAAGAAATTTTGGTGCTTCCCTGCGATTTTTTGAACTTTTTTGGGATCGAATATTGGGAATTGTAATGAAATTGGAAATTTTGGTAAGATAACCGATTTTTTTTTATCTTCTCCGCTCTTGGGGGCAAAAATATGAATTTACCAATGAATAGAGGACTAACATGAGAACTCAATGCAACAAAGAAATTTTGGTGCTTCCCTGCGATTTTTCAAACTTTCTTGGGTTCGAATATTGGGCATTGTAAAAAAAATTGAAAATTTTGTAAAGATAACCGATTTTTTTTAACTTTTCCGTTCTCGGGGGCAAAAATATGAATTTACCAATGAATAGAAGACTAACATGAGAACTCAACACAACAAAGAAATTTTGGTGCTTCCCTGCGATTTTTTGAACTTTTTTGGGATCGAATATTGGGAATTGTAATGAAATTGAAAATTTTGGTAAGATAACCGATTTTTTTGAACTTTTCCGGTCTCGGGGGCAAAAATATGAATTTACCAAAGAATAGAGGACTAACATGAGAACTCAATGCAACAAAGAAATTTTGGTGCTTCCCTGCGATTTTTTGAACTTTTTTGGGATCGAATATTGGGAATTGTAATGAAATTGAAAATTTTGGTAAGATAACCGATTTTTTTGAACTTTTCCGGTCTCGAGGGCAAAAATATGAATTTACCAATGAATAGAGGACTAACATGAGAACTCAATGCAACAAAGAAATTTTGGTGCTTCCCTGCGATTTTCCGAACTTTTTGGGGTTCGAATATTGGGAATTGGGAAAAAAATGAAAATTTTGGTAAGATAGCCCATTTTTTTGAACTTTTCCGGTCTCGGGGGCAAAAATATGAATTGATCAATGAGTAGAGGGGGGAGGGGGATTTGAATTTACCCATGGAAAGACAAATAGCATAGCAATCATTTTGGATTAAAAAATTGTGGTGACATCTTTTGATTTTTCGATTTCAAATGAATACGAACTGGTACCAAATCTTCTGAGGTGCTGTCTCCTCACTATAACTACAATCGTTAACCAGTGAAAATTTCAAAGGAATTGGTAGGTAATGGTGATTTTTTCACAACAACAAAAATTCCGAGCATACTGCAGCAATAAATTTCAAACAAAACGATCCATGGGTGCATTTCGTGTCCAATGAAGCGCCCCATGTATTGTGCAAACTCTCTTTACAAGATGTCCGATTTCATTACTACTTATAGATCTTGATTGGTAAGAATGTTGATAGGTATTTGTCTGTTTGTTACTTATCGATCTTGATCGGTAAATATGTTCATAGGTATTTGTCTGTTAGATGCACGCGATATCTTACGAAAGCGAGGTTGAATCTGCTTCAAATTATGCATGTGCATTCATCATATCTCGGACCAGAAGCCTATTGATTTTGGATGAATGATGTCGTATAATTAGCGAGCTATTAATTAATTAGTGATGAGACACACGATGTCGCCATGGAGTAAAAAGTTTGAAAAATCGCAGGAAAGCACCAAAATTTTTTTGTTGCGTTGAGTTCGCATGTTAGTCCTCTATTTATTGGTAAATTCATATTTTTGCCCCCGGGACCGGAAAAGTTCACAAAAATCGGTTATCTTACCAAAATTTTTAATTTTTTCACAATTTCCAATATTCGAACTCTAAAAAGTTTAAAAAATCGCAGGGAAGCACCAAAATTTTTTTGTTGCGTTGAGTTTTTATATTAGTCCTCTATTCATTGATCAATTCCTATTTTTGCCCCCGGGACCGGAAAAGTTCAAAAAAATAGGTTATCTTACCAAAATTTTCAATTTTTTCACAGTTTCCAATATTCGAACCCAAAAAAGTTTGAAAAATCGCAAGTAAGCACCAAAATTTCTTTGTTGCGTTGAGTTCGCATGTTAGTCCTCTATTCATTGGTAAATTCATATTTTTGCCCCCGAGACCGGAAAAGTTCAAAAAAATAATTTATCTTACCAAAATTTTCAATTTTTTCACAGTTTCCAATATTCGAACTCAAAAAAGTTTAAAAAATCGCAGGGAAGCACCAAAATTTTTTCGTTGCGTTGAGTTTTTATATTAGTCCTCTATTCATTGACCAATTCATATTTTTGCCCCCGGGACCGGAAAAGTTCAAAAAAATAGGTTATCTTACCAAAATTTTCAATTTTTTCACAGTTTCCAATTTTCGAACCCAAAAAAGTTTGAAAAATCGCAGAAAAGCACCAAAATTTCTTTGTTGCGTTGAGTTCGCATGTTAGTCCTCTATTCATTGATTAAGTCATATTTTTGCCCCCGGGACCGGAAAAGTTCAAAAAAATCTGTTATCTTAACAAAATTTTCAATTTTTTCACAGTTTCCAATATTCGAACCCAAAAAAGTTTGAAAAATCGCAGGAAAGCACCAAAATTTTTTTGTTGCGTTGAGTTCGCATGTTAGTCCTCTATTTATTGGTAAATTCATATTTTTGCCCCCGGGACCGGA